AATTGATGTCATTGATGTTGTTGCTATCTTATACGTATAGTGGCATTTAAATTTTGTTTTTACTTTTTTTACTAAGATTTTATTCTTTAAAGCAAGTTTAAGTTCACAGAAAAATTTAGGGAAGACACAAAGATACACCCTCTCCCTTACAGATGCCTAGCCTGCCCCATTATCATCCCACATCAGACATCCCACACACAACATTCCACCCCAGAGCCGTACATTTGTTACAACTTATGAACCTACATTAACACATCATAGTTACTCATAGTCCATAGTTCTTACTTTAGGGGTCACTCTTGGAGTTGTACATTCTATGAGTTTGGACAAATGTATAATGGAATGTATAAATCATTATGACATCATACAAAGTATTTTCACTGCTACTCTCCCCCCCAAAAAAAATCTGACGACTACTGATTTTTTTACTGTTCTCCATAGTTTTTCCTTTTTCAGAATGTCATATAGATGGACTCATACAGTGTGTAGCCATTCAGTTGGCTCCTTTCACTTAGTATATATGTATTTAACGTTCCTCCATGTTTTTCATGGCTTGATAGCTCATTTCTTTTTAGCACTGAATAAAATTCTACTGTCTGGATGTACCACAGTTTATTTATCCATTCACCTACTGAAGAACATCTTGGTTGCTTCCAAGTTTTGACAGTTATGAACAAAGCTGCTGTAAACATCTGTGTGCAGGATTTGTGTGGACATACATTTTCCACTCCTTTGGGTAAATACCAGGAAGTGTAATTGCTGGATCACATGGTAAGAGTGTGTTTAGTTTTGTAAGAAACTGCCAAACTGTTCTCCAAAATGACTGTAGCACTTAGATTTTCATCTACTAGATTGTCATTCATAAGACCAGATGCTATGTCTGTTTTTGTTCATCACTAGACTCCTAGGTTCTAGAGCAGGCCCAGACACAGAGTAGGCATGTATATTTGCTGAATAGATGGATGAATTAATTACCTGAATTATGGAATCAAGAACATGCTCACAAAATTTGTAAATGGAGCCAAATTGGGAGATGAGACTAGCATCTTAGAATACATAGTAAGAATTTTTTGTGACTCTGACAAATGGGAGAAATGGCCAGAAATGAAATATAATAAGCACTGATAGAGCAAAAGAGGTAACCATTTTCAGAAATGATTGTTGATATTATAAATCTAGTCAAAGCATATGTGTACTTCATATCTAGTCACTATATTTCTTGAGTAACAGTGACAGAGTTGTGGGTGTTTGATGAGGCCAAGAGATTGAAAGATCTAAAAGCCAGGTCCACAGGAAGACTGATGAAAAGACTTGCACATACTTAACATGAGGAAAAGGAGATTTAAAAGGTGTATGAAATCAATCCAGATAGTTAGAGGCTTGTTACGTTGAGGAGGGATTGCACTGACTAGCACATTGTGCAGACGGCCACCATCCCAGTCCTGTCCCTGCTGCAGACATCACATTTTCCCATTGTGATATAAGCAGTAAATTTCAAATGATCTAAATTGGCAAATGAGGTGAAATTGTCAAAGATATTGATTAAGCAAATAAAGTTTATGCTATATATGAAACTTAAGATGACCATTCTTCCTTTAAGGCCATAGGAAGATGACACTTTAACCTAACTTAACATTACAATTAATATAAACTGATCTTTCATAGGCTTAGAACACAATGCTTTCTTTAAGAAAAGTTGAGTAAGCTTACTTTGGATGTTTTACACTAGCCAACTCAATTTTCAAAACATTACAGAAACCATCATATTATGATATACATGTTCATCTGAGCAACGTTTTGCAGCATTTGTGACAACAACAGATCTGTAACGATCTCAAAAGAAATATTTAGTCTTTCAGCCTTAGGAAAATTCTTCTTTTAAAAGGGAAAGTTGGGTATTTTAGTGAACAATGACTTCTTGCACAGAGATGCTGAACATCATATTTGCTTTGAACTTTTTTCTTTTAACCTGCATTCTTGTTGACAAGCAAACTGTTTTTAGAAGCTACTCACCATCTTCAAAGGAAAAACTTATATTTCTGATTTCATTTTTCCTTAAATTAAGAGAGACTTCCTCAAAACCTATCTGCCATCTCTGAGGTCAGAACTAGTACCAAAATAGTGGGAGTTAGAGGTGTGAGGGTGTGTGTGGGAGCTTGGGTGTGGGTGTGATTGTTACAAAGATAGGATTATATTATTTCATTATCCATGGGAGCATTATTAATGGAGGGCATGGTTTGACAGACCTCAATGATGGATCATTTGGAACAGTCCAGTCTGAGAGCCACAAAACCTACAGCTGTTGGTTTGAAACTTTGAGTTGTTCTCTCATTACCAGCCGTAGTCATGTTGCTTCTATTCTATGTGGATGGTAATTGCTTTTCAAGTGGCCTTACAGACTCTTTTAATATAGAATTTGCTTCGGAATCTTCGAGCTAACATAGGATTTTGCTTACCCCTAAAGGTTCCAACCTTCTGCAAATACATAATGCCTTCAGCAGTTAAGAATTTCTGACTACAGAACTGAGCCTCTGAGCCTAGAAATTAAAAGGCCCTTAAAACTTCAAGTAGGTTTGGGGGGATTCTCAAAGATGACTAAGCTTTTGGAAAATAGCATCTAAGGAAAAGATGAAAGAATCCAGATTCATGTAAAGATGAGAGACTAATATGAAGGACTGCTATTTTGAGTAGTTCACAAAACAGTTCAACCGAGTGCAGAACGAAAACATTGGAACATCAACATATTTGGTTTTTCATCATTCTTTTAAAATTTCTATGTTGGAGCATTTTTACTGTATATGTATTATAACTTATATATAAAGTTTATATGCACAGTAGTACATGTATAAAATCTATAAATGCATATACATATATTGGGCCCCATGCTCGAAAGTTTTTTCATTACAGATAAGAATGTGTGAGTAAAAACATAGTCCTTAAAGAATTATGTGCTTTTCTTCTCCATCAAAAGAGTGTTTCAGTGTCTTTGTGTTGGGGAGCGGGACTGGTTTAAGTAGGAGCACAAGGGATTCAGTTAGATCCATTTATTTTGTTTTTAAATAACCATAATTGCTGATGAAACAACATTCATTCATATTCAACAAATATTTTCTGAGCATGTCCCATGTAATAAGCATTGCCCTAGGCTCTGAGGATATGATGTTGAATCTAAACAGTCACAAGCCTTGACTTTATAGTGCAGTATAGTTTAGTGGAGGAAGACAGCTATCAAGCAAATACTCATGGATTTAAATATCTCATCATAAAGACAACCTACTGAATGGGAGAAAGTATTTGCAAATGATATGACTGATAAGGGGTTAATATCCAAAATATATAAATAGCTCATACAACTCAAAAAGACAAACAACCCAATTAAAAAATGGGCAGAAGATCTGAATAGACATTTTTCCAAAGAGGACATGCAGATGGCCAATAGGCACGCGAAAAGATGCTCAGCATTGTTAATCATCAGAGAAATGCAAATTAAAACCACAAGGTATGAGATATCACCTCACACCTGTCAGAATGGCTATTATCAAAAAGAACAAAATAACAAATGTTGGCGAGGATATAGAGAAAAGAGAACCCTCATACACTGTTGGTGGGGAAGTAAACTGGTGTAGCCACTGTGGAAGACAGTATGGAGGTTTCTCAAAAAACTAAAAATAGAACTACCACATGACCCAGCAATTCCACTTGGGGGTATATATCTTAAAAAACCCACTAGTTGGAAAAGACACATGCACCTCAATGTTCATAGCAGTTATTTATGATTGCCAAGATATGGAAACAACCTAAGTGTTCATCAACAGATGAATGGATAAAGAAGATGTGGCGTGCATGCGTGCGCACACACACACACAGAGGAATACTACTCAGCCATAAAAAATGAAAATTTGCCATTTGCAACAACATGGATGGACTTGGAGGGCATTATGCTAAGTGAAATAAGTTAGGCAAATATAGTATGGTACCATTTATATGTGGAATCTAAAAAATAAACTAGTGAATGTAATTAAAAAAACAGACACTGAGAAAACAAATTAGTGGTTACTAGAGGGGAAAGGGAAATGGGGAGGGGCAAGATAAGGGTAGGGGATTAAGAGGTACAAACTACTATATATAAAATAAATAAGTTACAAGGATATATTGTACAACACAGAAAATACTTTGCCAATATTTTATAATAACTATAAATGGAGTTTAACCTTTAAAATTGTGACTCACTACAGTGTACACCTATAACTTATATAACCTTGTACATCAACTACAATAAAAATTGTTTTAATTTAAAAAATTTAGATCTCATCATAAACTGATAAGTATTACAAAGAAAAGAAGAGCAGGCTACAGGAGGCTACAAGAGAATAAATTGGGGGCACTTTCTCTATTCTGGGGTTACTGAAAAAGACTACCCTGAGGAAGTGACGTTTAAGCTGGGGCCTGTGGGGCTGGCAGTGTGGTTGCCTTGGGAAGAGGTAGGGAGAGAGAGGCCTAGGCTGAGGAAGAGTGCCTAATGGCCCTGAGGGGACAACTGGGGATTGAGGGGCAGTGCCACATATGCACGGGTTATCAGACATTGGGGAATCTTCAGAGATGAATCGGCCTGACGGGGATGAAGTACAGGCTAAATGACCCCAGGAGCTCCACCCTCCTTTGATCAGGAAAAAGATCACAGAGGGCCACAGGAGACAAAAAGAAGTGAGTGGCTGGGTGGCTTGGCACAATTGGAACATTGCATTCTATGCAGCATTTCCGGGAATCTCAGGTAATGCTCTGTGTGGCCCCCTAGGACAGAAATCGGCAAGGGTAACGGGCAGCATGTTTTCTCTGCCTGAGCTACAGATGTGAATCTTGCCTTTTGGATGACAATGAGAATTTCATGAGCAGTAGCCAGCCAGAGGGCCTAGTATTGTGTCGTGATCATGTATTTCCCTGAGTTATTTTAATCAAGAGGGTGTCTGTGCTATCCTCTTCGCAAAAGCAGAGGGTTTGGAGGTAGGGTAAATGAGGTAGGTCGAAGGATAATTGCCGGAAATGAGGCTGTGGCTCCGGGCTGCGGAGATGCTAAGTGGGAGAGCAATTGTTGACGAGCCATTGTCGCTGTGCCTACTAATCTGCGAGGGGAGGGGAGGAGACAAGGGAGACCAGGGTTGGACACTGAGCGTGGAAGAAGTGTGAGCGAGCCAGGGAGCGCTCTCGACGCGCGAGGGCGGGAGGCGGCTACCCGGGTCCTCCGCGCCGAGAAAGGGGCAGCAGGAGGCGGCGCGGGCCCCGCCCCCTCCCCTGGCGGGCGCGGGCGCGAGACGCTGCGCGGCGGCAGCGGCGGGCGCGAGCAGCAGCTGTCAGGCCACCGAGGTCCAAGCTGCACTTGCCGCCCCGTGGAGGACGAGGAGGAGGCAGGAGCGCTGACGGTGTCGCCGAGGAGCCGGACTGCCGGCACGCAGAGCCGACCGGCCTGGCCCCCGCGGCCCTCTCCCGCCTCTCTCCCATTGTGTTGGGTAAGGTGCCGGTGCGTGGGCAGCGACGGGGGCTTAGCGGCCGGAGGACGCAGGAGGCCGGGAGGTGGGGGGCCTGGGGACAGAGGGAGGAAGGGAGGTCTAGGGGATCCCTGGAGGCACTTGTACCTGGGCAAATGGACCTCGACGCCGCGGGGACCGGAGTTGGGGGGTGGGTGACGGTGGAGGGGGGCGTTGCTGAGTAATCCCGAGCGGCTGCCAAAGCCCGGCAGAGAGGCGCAGGGCTCCGTGGGGAGCGGGTGTGGCTCAGTGCGCATGCGCCACGGCTGCTGGTTCTCAGAGCTGGGGATGAGGTGAGCCGACCCGGGTCCGAGGTAGTTGGAACTCTGCGTGGCATCTCACTTTCTGGATCCCCCATGCTAACGGTACCCCTGTTGTAAAGATGCCAGCATTCCCGGCCTCCTAAGAAAGCTTCTTTTTCCTCTACCCTGCTCAGTTAATGTCACTCAAAGCTTTCCTATTTGTCCCAGGCAGTCTACTTAGGAAGAAGTGGCCTGGGGACAGTGCCAAATTGCTATCCAGTGTGCCTTCAAGCTCATATCCCCAGAGCTGTCATTGTGAGGAGTGAAGGGTTAGAGATGAAAGTCCACATTGGACCCTTCTAGTTGCATGTCGGATATAAATATGGGCATAAATGTAGGAATAGCTCTTCAGTGGCATGACAGCTGTGGCATTTGGACTCAATGGACTTAGGTGATAACTTGTTAGCTCTACAAAATGAATCCAGTGCGTCAGAGGGCTTCCTCGCCACAGAACCCGCTCACCCCCCTCCCCAGCCCCAAGCATCAAGTTGTACTGGAAACAACCTACACCATTTAAGGCAGAGAGTCTCAAAGATCCAATCATTTCTTATTTGTATTGATTTTTACGTATAGTAAAGAAAGCCCCACCCAATTCTCCAGTGAAATATTTCCAAATATTGTGCCAGGAATCAACAGTGAGTTGAATAGTCTCGACTGGTGTGTCACCACAAGATGGGCTTTCCCCACAGCTCTAACTATAGCTTCTCTCCTGTGCGGATTGCCACCAGGGCCACTCTCACTCACTGCCTAGCCCTCCCCTGTTTCTCCTCCCCCACCTTCAGCCATGCAGTACACATCCCTCTCAAAACTTGCTCCCATACCATCTTGCACTATGGATCTGAGCATCATTCTACCCATGGCAACTGAACTGATGTTGCCAATTTGCTTTTCTGTATTTCTCTCCATCAGCACACTAAAATGTACTATTTTCAAAGGTTCAGGCTCTTTCTTACCATTGTCCTGCCTCCTCCCTCGCCTCCATCCCCACCCCCAAGCATCCCCAACTAAATACAATAATTTTAATAAGCCTGTGTGGGTGCAGACACAGCAGATTTAGAAGGTTTCAAGTGTATCAAAGAATAAAGAAAGCTACCAGTTATGTGAATTTCTAAGTCATCTTACTATTCAAGACTTAGACCCTAATTGGGGAAAAAAGTGAATAAACTGTCCTTAGAGAATGTTTGTTAATCTGGGGGAAATGGAGTAGGAAAAGGGAACTGCATGTCTGGGATATTTAAGTCATTTAAAGCCAGATCTTTCTCTGAATAGGACCAAGATCAGAATAAACATTTTAGTCCAAATCCTACCTTGATATGGGACCCTTAAGGAATGCGTAAGGGATTTGACTTTCCTAATAAATGTACTTAGGGTTAGCAAAGAATTCCTTTGCCTACTTAATGCTATCTTCTTTTAAGATTTGATTTAAATTTGACATATTCTGGAGGAGAAAAAGTTGTTTGATTTGCTTTTATACTGTGCTAGTACTTTTTAATTTAATTATGTACTAAAGGATATCACACTCAAATGGTGAGGAGGAGGAGGAGGAAGAGGATGGGGATACCAGCACCCACTGAAAACAAAGTGGACATAATTATTCTGCTCTTGTTTTGGGCAGGAATGGAGAAATTTATATATTTATTTTTTTAATGTGAAGGGAAGGGGAGGGAAACTGGAGCATTTCCAATAAGTTTCAACAGGTGGAATTCCTGTTAAGTCCCATCTAGAAAGTGATCCAGATAAGTCCATAACTTCTGCTCTTTAGTCACCTTATAAATAATAGTATTTGGATAGCTTACAGAACTGGGAATCTGTTGTACCTTTGCATCAGTTCAGAGGCGTTAGTTCCGGGTACTTACCTAATTAATAAACAAATGTTTACTGACTATCCATATAGAGGACTCTGGTGCTGCTTGAGGGGACTTCAAAGACATACACAAACAAGTGCCCTGTGACCCAGGAATTTAGAATTTGGTTGTGTGGGAAAGACCTATTTGTGCAGGAAAAAAAAAAGATTTTGTTAACAAAATAAGACAGCATAATGATACTATTTCAACTATAAACTATGAGATCTGAAACTTATATGTTAATTTGTAAACTCCCTGAAGGTAAGACCTTGCCTTAAACACATAAGATTTCCAACAATGTCTACACCCAGTGGGTGCTGAAGTGACGAAGCTTTGCAAAGTAGATTAGGTAGGGAGAAACCAGAGGCAGGGAGAGAAGAGCAGGGAAGCTTTCACAACAGATTAGATGCAAGGAGATGTGGACCAAAGTTCAAATATTAGCAGAAGACTGGAAAAGGATATTCCAAGGAAAAATCACCAGGATTTAGTGACTGAAGGCAAGGAGCCAAGCCCAAACTGTATTCATTTCTACCTCTGACAAACAAATGGGAGTTGGAGGCAGCAGAGGAAAGTGGAGGGTCACCTTAGTAAGCACATAATAGGCACTCAGGTGTTTTCCCAAGCATCAGTTGCAGGATTGGACTAGAAGACCCTTAAGGTCCCTCCAGCACTAAGATTCTGTGGTATATGCAGATGCTCAAAATTGTTGGGGAACAAGGGCTTCTCAGATATGGAAGAAAGAGGGAAGGAAGAATTGTTATCCTCCCACTGGCAGGCCCTTTCTGAGAAGGGTTAATATGAATCACAAGACCCCCACCAGTGAGTAAAAGGAGATAGAGGAGCAAGAGGAACAAAAATTTCAAACCAAAAATTTCAGTAAATGCTTACAAATCTTTGCAGACTTCATAAGTTATTCATTTCCCCCCAAGTCTTGTGTGTTAAGTGGGGCAGGTGTTATCAGCTCTATTTTTATATAGGAAGAAAGACAACAAGATTAAGCGACCTGCCCAAGTTCATAAAATAAATGAATGGGAAAGCAGTGATGAAGACCTTTGTCTCCTGATTGCTGCCTGCCCAGTACACTTGACTGACCCTGAATCGCATTGCTTTTCCTCCTCTTTCCCTAGTTTAGAGCCTATGCACCCAGAAGTTATGTGCGCACACGACTAAATAGGGAATGCACAAGCAACTGCAGCATTATCTCAGATAGTTATTAATACTTCATCATTATTCCTGGAGCTGAGTATTTGGTTTCCATATTCACTCAGTCCTTGACCCGTCATTTGAGTTTATCCACAACAGCCGGGAAAGTAGAGTTAGTGAGTCATTTAATGATGTGAACACCTGTTTGCTAGGACCTTAAGGAAGCTCATTTGGCATGGGCCTTTAGTACTATGAGTATTATGCCCAAGTTTGTACTTCCTTCAAGTGAGAGCTGAAAAGTTCTCCTCTGTAAAATTATCCTAAAGACCAGTATAAAAAAGAAGTGTGCTAACACTTGTTTCGTCTCCATTTAAAGAAATGTTTGTTACTTGAGCTGCTTCCAAAGACAGCAATTTGAGAGCAGGGAAAAAGGACAAAAATCAGGAATTGTAGAAAACTTGAGAATTTTTTAGAATAGATATACACCAAGAAGAAGGATAAAGCCTATCAATTTAGAAGACATTATTTAAATTCATACCTACTGATTTAGCTCTCTAATGAATCCCTTAGTATAGGCTTTATCTATATTTGACTAAAATAACATGAGACTGTTAAGCAGCAGAGATTTCTTGAAAGCTTCTTTATTCCTCAGTAAGAAAGACTACTCAACAAATCGAGGAACTGTTTTTCTTTTTAGACCAGTACTCTTGATGCTTCTTAAATAAGACACTTGCCATAATTAAATATAATTTTAAATGAAGATGTGTTTGAATTTAATAAAGCCAGCTAAATACTAAAACCTGTGTTTAAGACAGATGACTGAAATTAATGAGTAAAATAATTAGCCAAGATTATATATTGTAAACAAGGAATCCCCAAACATATCTTTTTCTTCCCTGATCTTGTGGAATCAGTTGCAGAGACAACCTCAAGGCAGATTGGGGAGTGCGTTAATAACTTTCTTGTAGATGGAAACATTGGTAGATATAAAGGAAAGGCGTTTCATCTCTGACTTAGGATTTCAGCATATCTTAGACTCCTCTGTGCTTTCCCTTTCCTGAGTATCACCTAATGTGAATGTCGCTACTTTCTTTGATTTACTTTTACTTTGAATGGCAAGTTCAATGACGAGACAATATAAAACTTTAAAAATCATATAAAGTACACTCAAGTTAAGACAAGTTAAAATTCATGCAATAAAATTATTTTGTCCATGTTAAGTGTTTGTAGCATTTGAACTCTTTTTAAGAATATTCATGAAAAGCATCTTCTGTAGGTAAGTTGAGGTTTGTCTGGTTTTTTTTTCCCTGACTTGATCATATTTGTATCTATAGTCTTTATTTTATTATAAATTTTAAAAACTAATGTTTCACAATCTGTTTTTCAGAATCCTAAAAAGAAAGAATATAACAACAACAAGAAAAAGACTTAAGATTGTGACAAAGACCCAACTGGGTTTATATTTTATTTTCTTCTGGGTAGGTATATATTTTATATGTTTTTATTTGATCTCTGAAAAATGTATAGCACAGGGAACCATATTCAATATCTTGTAATAGCCTATAATGAAAAAGAATATGAAAAGGAAAATATATCTCTATATAACTGAATCACTATGCTGTACACCAGAAACTAACGGAACATTGTAAACTGACTATATCTTAATTAAAAAATAAATATTAAAAATAAAAAAATGCTAAAATGAAAAATAAATATTTAGAAAAACATATAGTTAGTATACATGCACAGCAACATAACTTTAAGAACTACTGAGGTTTTTTTATCTACATTTCAAATGTGTGTGCCTCCAGAAGCTCTTTTGCATGTGCTCTTTTGATTAGTGATTAGTTTTCATCAATTTAAGTCACTTGCATAAATAACACCCAATAAACATCATCATTGTTGAGGTCCCACAAAGCTAGTGTAAAAGTACCTAACAGAGTCTAGTACACGGTAGTTGTTCAGTAAACATTTGATCTTTTTATTTTAACCTGCATCCTAGTTGTTCCACCTATAGACACGTTGTGGAGGTAACAAAAAGGATACTGTATAATTATTAGCTCTTAGAGTTTACGGTATGTTTTCATTGGTGTTACTATGGAATTAGAAACTAAATCCAGAAATTAATAAGCTTATTCAAGATTTTCTTCCTCAATGATAGCCGTTATAATGATACCAGTCAACAGTTATCAACTTGAGTGCCATTGTTCCCCTGAAGAAAAGATTATGGAAAATCCTTTACTTGTGAGGGTATCCATATCCGTGCAAGTATAATGGAGCAAATGCCTGAAGAAACCTGATACTTTTCTCTTTTCCCAGTTCTGGGGTCCACTGTAATTCTAACCCAAACCTCTATTAACAGAATCAAGATTTCAGCATACACAGCTTTCTCTCCTCAATAATTCTTGAGTCCCTCGGGAACAGACTTCAAACCCGAAACCAACTTCATACTTTTTGCCTCTTGTTTGGAACTGTCCAAACCGGAAGCTAACATGTTACACATTTGAGTAATATTCCTGTTCTAGGCTTTCTCGCCTGGAATAGGATCAGAACTGAACCAGATTACAGCACCATCTGCTAGTCCGTTTATCCATGGCATTCGGCCATCTTCCTGGCACAGGCAAGAAAGAGACTTCAGGAAAACAAGACCTATTTTCTCCCTTATGCAAAAAGAGTTTTATTCCTTCTGCTATACTATATCATTTAATGAGCATGAATCAAGAGAAGTTAAATTAGAAGGCCTCGTATTTCAGAGAAATTTACTATGCAGTTGATTTCAGTTTCAGATTTTAACTGTCTTCCCTCCTACTTTTTCTTTTATTTTCAGGCTCTCTTGGTTATATACTCCTTTCCATCTGGTGCTGCAACAATGAGTGGGAAATCCCTGCTCTTAAAGGTCATTCTCTTGGGTGATGGTGGCGTTGGGAAAAGCTCACTCATGAACCGTTATGTAACCAATAAATTTGACTCTCAGGCTTTTCACACCATAGGGGTAGAGTTCTTAAATCGAGATCTGGAGGTAGATGGACGTTTTGTAACTCTCCAGATCTGGGACACTGCAGGGCAGGAACGTTTCAAGAGCCTTAGGACACCCTTCTACAGGGGAGCAGACTGCTGCCTCTTGACCTTCAGCGTGGATGACCGGCAGAGCTTTGAGAACCTTGGTAATTGGCAGAAAGAATTCATCTACTACGCAGATGTGAAAGACCCTGAGCACTTCCCCTTTGTAGTTCTGGGTAACAAGGTAGACAAAGAGGATAGGCAAGTGACTACTGAGGAGGCGCAGGCCTGGTGCATGGAGAATGGAGATTACCCTTACCTAGAAACAAGTGCCAAAGATGATACTAACGTGACAGTGGCCTTTGAAGAAGCGGTCAGGCAGGTGTTGGCTGTAGAGGAACAGCTGGAGCATTGCATGTTAGGTCACACTATTGACTTGAACAGTGGCTCCAAATCAGGATCTTCATGCTGTTAAAAGTAGGAAGCCTTTTCAAAGTGTGCCCCAAATTGGTCAGTCAGTAGCATAAGAATAACTGTGCCCCTCTAAGAGAGCACACACATACAAAAAGGTGCGAGATAAGGTTATGATGGTGAATCAGAGCCTTTCAAATTGAAGTTGTAGAGAGATTTAAAAAAAAAAGCTTTATCAAGCCAAGTGTATTTTGCGTGATTTCTGCTATTTCCTTCTTGTGTGTATCGGGACACTTCAGAAAGCTTTAGTCCTGAGAGATTTAAATATTTTTCAAATCACAGTTTAAACTTAGAAACCAGCCGCATGAAGGAGTTAAAGAGCTACAGCTATCCCTTAAAGCGTTCCATTTATCAACTAACAAATGTCACCATCAACTCTTGCCAAGCAGTTTCTGACATGTCTGTCAAGGGGAAAAAAAATAAGACTCTGAGCCGTATTACAATAAAAATAATAATGCAAACAAAGATGTTCTAAGCTTGAATTATAAAGAGGTTATAATGATTAGAAATGCAAAAGTATAATGATGTACACTGCCTTGTTTAAATCCTTATGTGTGATTTGCTCCCAGCTGAGCTTTTCAAGAAATACTGTCTCAAGAAGAGATACACTAACGACATAGGAAATTTATTATACTCCTTGTGTTTAAAGTAACAGGGTACTAGTGAATGGATTATGCTCAAATATGCCAACCACCCTTGCAAATAAATGGTTGGTCTGCTTTCACGTCATAAGTCTACTTTTGCTGTGCAGGGATGTTGCTTCTCTGGCAACCTCGTATCAATTTAACAATGCTGTTTAGTATATGACTTTGGACACACTGCACTCTGCTCATAATTTTGATGGTCCTTTGGTCCACAATACTTCTCTCAGAGAAGCCTTCAGAACAGATGGGAGGATACTGGACTTTTCTTACAATGTTCCTTAACTCGAATGTTTATTGTAGAAGAAGGAACTGATTTCTTTTATGTTGCACTATATGTTCAGCTGGCCAAACTAAGACATTGAAAGTAACAAAAGAGAACATACTTTAATCCAGTGTTAGAATGAACGTCTCATAATTAGAGTTGTCTGACAGTGGAATGGACTGCCTTAATGGTGAACTCCCTTCCAGTGAAAAGAGTCAGGAAGATGTGGATGACCAGGTGTTGAAATACCATAAAAAAGATTTTTCTGTACTGGCTAGATATTTGGTTTAAGGTCCCTTCCAGCTCTAAGTTCTAGGAATCTGTAAGCTACAAACTATATTTCAGTGCCATGTTATAATTAGATTTATCTTAAGACAGCAGCTAAGACTATGGAAAGGGACTTTAAAGTTTCTCAAACTATTCTGGGATCAGCATTTAACAGCAACTACATAGCTCTTTTGCTTTTGCACTATGGCAGGAAAAATTCTTGAGCTCTGAGTAATCATTACATGCCCGATATAAACATCCTAAAGATACTATATTAAAATGCAAAAATGGTTTGTCAAATCAAAATCAAAATTTTGTGATCAAATCAAATTTTGATTTGACAAACCATTGCCAGCTATATACTGTATTATGAATATGCAGTCTAGTTCTTGTCAGTTGATCTATTTGTCTTGCATAGCTTTTAATCTGTACTCTTAAAACATCTCTGATAAAAATAATGGCCCAAGATAGTGAGGGACAGTTAGAAATGACCCCAGAAAGAGACCTAGGTCGGGGAGGGGGCAGGAGCTTTCACAGGAATATAGCCTAGAACTCTCCATTGTAGCCACATATGGAATCAGCCTTACACGTGGGACCTTATGTGCTTTAAGAGCTCTGGGACTTTTTTGCCACATAGATAAGTGGAAGATGATATTTCATCCCAGTAATACTCAGTATTTCCCATTTAAATATGGTCCTGACCCCATTGTCCAACTAACTTTGATGCCAGAAGTCAAAGCCAGAACTGGGACCCCACGGCTCTTAAGTATTGGTCCCTATCCTGCCTATGCCTATAGCCAGCCGCACTGGTCTCCCAGCTCTATGATCATTTTGCTACAATCATGTTAGGGTGAAAATCTGTACATCAGAATTGTTCAATGCTAATTGTTTAAAAGTGCATGAGACCTGGGGCCTTCTCTTTCTACTTGCACTCTGCTTATAATAGTTTCTATTTGTAGATCTCAGGCCTTCATAAAGAACTCCACCCACTCACAAAAGTACTTGTCACTATTTGAATGGCATGTGATCATTTAAATAAAAAAATTACTTGAGTATCCCATTCATAGGCCTCCTGTCCATCCAAGACAAGTGTTCATTTTATTGGCAGGTCAATTGAAGCCCCTTTCCTCTTAGCCACACCAATTTTTTTTTTGCCAAATCACTACACAATATCTTAATGAAAACACTTAACATTAAGTGACAAAAACAGTGGCATTTTGGTGAGTAATACTCAGTGGGGTGCTCACATATAGTTTGGATAAGATTAAAAACCACCGAAGGCTGAAATCTGTGAGTACTAGGAACTGTGCACATAGGCTTAGAAATTGTGTACTCTAGAATGTGCAGTGCAATATTTTCAGTAGGTGTTTTTTTAAATGAACACTGGATTTTTGAACAAGATATTTCTAATTGGAACTATGCTGTTTTTCAATGGTCCATTAAACATCATACAGAATATTTATTTAATTTATTTTCATGTATTGGGCTAACATTCAAGGGGCCTCAGATTCCATATGTCTTCAGTGGATTGACGAATTTCAGGTTAATTTGTGCCTGCCTCAGTCATCTCTACTTTACCCTGAGGTATTCCATAATCCTCTTGTTGCAGGTGCTGCTAAAAACTCAAAATTGTGTATCAGATATTTTGTTTCAACTGTAAAAAATCATCTGTGTTAAAGTGAATAAAAAGTGCATTTTGAATAACCGGTATACAATGTTTGTGCGGCTTTTCTCCCTTTCTCTTTTTGAGCAACTGGTAGGTGAGACAGAGAGTATTTATCAATCAAGTCACTCAGGTTGCCCTGCATGTGGCCTCTGAATCATGTTTCCACATGGTGCTCCAAGCAGCCACTACCTACTGATCAGACAGATACCATTTTACTGATTAGGAGACAAGCTCAAAAGATTAAGGTGGGAAAGTTCCTTTTATGTTATGCCGCTTTGTAATATATGAAGAATACTGGGCATAGGCATTGGATCTTAACTCTCCACTTTACTTCTTCATTATAATTTAAAACAGAGTGAAACCATCACAAAATATAAATAGAATATGCATGTTCCCTTTATTTTCTTGACTGATCTACTGTCTAGATTTTGGGAAAACATGGAAATATAGGCAAAACAAATTAGAACACAAAGGATAATTTTGTTAAATATTCTGTTCTCACATATTGGACTTTAAACATACTTGCATTAGCATCAGTCTAATGGCTTGAATATACAGTACATAGTGGTGACTTTAAAATTATGGACACAAGTCTCTCCACAGCATGTAATTTCATTACAGAGATTCCATCTGTCACAGATTTAGCCCTCTTCTCCCCTCCGTCTATTTTTGCCTGATGGAACTTCGGGCAGTCAAAATCAGAGGGGGAACAAAACAAGTTTTTTGCCACATCCTTCACTAAGGATAATCATTTAACAAATTATCAGACCAGCTTCAAATACAGCACCAGAAATCCTTTTGATTAGGCTATAATGATGCAACTTTTAGGCTATAGGAGGCCATAGATTTACAAGATCTTTAATAAAAGGATTTGTTCATCCAAAACTGATACTTGAAAAGCAGAAAACTAGCTTTCCGTCTGCAATTTTTCTACCTGATTCATAGCCCAGTGGGAAATCTCTTTCTTTTGATGTCTTAAGAGGTACTTGAGTAGGGGGAAAGGGAATCGGATGAAGGCAGTCAAAGGTATACAAACTTCCAGTTATAAGATAAATGCTAGAGGTATAATGTACAACATGATAAATAGAATTAACACTGCTGTGTGTTTTATATGAAAATTGTAAAGAGAGCAGATCTTAAGAGAAAGAGAGAAAGGAAGGAAAGGAGGGAGGAAAAAGAAACATTATAGAGTCTCATTTTTTGGAAATAGCTTGGCTATGGGCCAGGAAGTGAAGAGTGTGGAATAGATGGTTTCAATTCTATAATTAAATTTTTAAAACGCACTGGAAAATTAAAGCACTGATTTGAGGAATTTCAGGATGGGAGTGGCATGTCTACTTTCATTTGAATTACCTGAAGTAGTTCTAACCTCAGTTTTACCTCAGTAATCCAGATAATGATGTCAGTTTTTATCTCCTTGCTATGGAGATGTAGGATTCATTATAGTGGAGTGCTTTTCTTACCCTTGATTTTAGGGCGAGTAAACTATGATACATTTTTTGATAAAATGTTCATAGATGTGCATGGCTTTTTTCCAAACTGGTCTCTTTTTTTCCCCAGCTAGCCATATTTAAAGAATGAAAGTAAAGTTATTAAAATGTCCTCTTATTGGTATGTTTGCAAAAACTGGTAAACAAGGATCTGGCTTTGTTTTGCTGATGGAAGTGGTGATGTTCGTGTGAGGTTTTTTTTTTTTTGAGGGGGTGAGGGGTTACTTAGTGCTTTCCCAGGGAGAATACGCATCTTCTTCGCAGCTCAAGATGTGAAGAACTTGTCACCTTTAGTCATGTGGGAACTACTGCAGTGATTCACGGGTCTTCATAAACCACTTTGTCTTCTCCAAGGCAACACAGAGAATTTTGGTTCAGCCATATTTAAGTGTCTTGGTTTTGTGAGTGCAAGTATGTGTATTTTTGAGTAATCTGTCAATTCCCTTCATGCTATATGAATTATGGATAAATGTGTAATGAGTCTCACTATAGCACTACTGAATTCGAGCCAGATGTGCCAGGCTCTGCTTCTTCTACTTAATTGATTGATAAAAAGGGATTAAGAAATACTGCCTTAATGAAAGAAATGCTAGCTGTATTGATTAGAGTTAAAGTACAAATGATGCCTTCCTGTGGTGCATTCGTGAGGAAGCAAGAGACAGGCTCATCTCTTCTCTTTTTCATTGTTCCTGGCTGCCCTGGAAAACAGCATATCCATGGGTGTGTCCTGTAATGTTTGATATAGAGTCTGCTGATTGATGAACAAGTATTGGTATAATCTTTGAATTGTCTCTTTTTCCATTTGTTCCCCATGAGAAAACAGTGTCACAAGTAAACACTTTAAAACTTTGTCTTTCTTTTTTTCTGATTACAAAAGTCATACGCACTCATGACAAAAAAAATATAACTGAAGGAGCAAAAAAACAGAAAAGCAAAATAAAATAAAAGTCATCTGTAATCCTATTACCCTGAGGTAGCTAGATTTTTAAAATATTACTTTTAAGTGTGTATTTTAATATGTTTATGTAATAAAAGCATTGATGTCATTTTGCACATACTGATTGTAATCTTTTTCGCTTAACATACATGACACTTTTCTCTAAGTCATTATATATTCTCCTAGGGATTATATTTAATGCTTGCATAATAGTCTGTTGAAGGATTTACCATAATATATGTAATCAAACACATTGCTAGACAGGTAAGTTTTTTGCAATGGCCTCCTTTTCATAAAATAAAGCAGCAGTCTACATCCCTAATAGTAATCTTAATTCACATCTCTGTTTATTTCCTATAAGTAAAATTTCTGGATCAAAGAATATGAATATTTTTATGGCTTTTAATATATATTGGCAAATTGCCCTCTGAAAGAATGTTGTCCCAAACTACATCAACAGCAGTTGAATAAGAGAAGGTCTATTCCTCTAAACATTCAACCACTCGTGGAATATCATCTTCACAAACCACATTTGCCTTATGTGCTAAGTGAAAAATAATCTCATGTTTTGATTCGCATTTCTTTCATTCTTTGAGAGTAAGTAGATGTTCATCTATTTATTGACCATTTT